TAAGTACCATAAGTATCATTTTAAATCTAATAACAACTCGAATAAGGAATATTGACTCTTGATACTTGATTATTTGTTACGTTATATCAACAAATGAACAAAGAAAAGTTTAAATGGAAGGGCCTTTAAATTACTAGCATACGTTGATCTATTTGGAGTTAAACAACAATTTTGCAGTAAAGGAAAACAGCTGACAAAATAAGTCAACAAGTATAACAATATTATATTTTGATTTGATTAATCGGCAAATACTATAAAAATCCAATCCTAGTTTAGGTCTTCTAGTGCGCTTGCGTTACCCTGTCGAACGGACAAACGCTGTAGTGAAGTACAAAAGGTCAACCACGACAAACGTGTTCTTGTGCATAATTGAATTTTACTTTGAAGCAGCGAGACTTGCTGATACTGAACACCATCTTTTGGGATTTCGTATAAAACAGTCCACCATATCTTCGAAGCGTTAGTTTTCTGAATGTCAAATTCCTCCTCATGATGAGTGTTGGACAGGTATCTATCATTTCTTGTTACATTCTTGGCTTCATCGGTGGATTGTTTTTACTTCCTCACGTAGGTAAGTCTAGTACTAAATTATGATTTACTTATTTATGTTGTTTTCATTCTTCATTAATTCTTCAGTGATTCCTATAAAGTTCTACAGATTTACAGCGATCAATATTTGAAGGTGGTCAATCCAGGTTTCGATGATTAGTAAGATAAAACCAGTTTATCAATGAAAACCCTAACGATTTCTGATACATAACATTGTAAACATTGTCGTTCAAAAAGTTCAAGGTAGTCACACACTACTATGTCTAAAGTGAATTGACGAAAGTTGTGTAGACTGATGTTAAGTTCAGCCCGGAAGGCATATTATATCGAGACAATATAATCAGCTTTATTTTGCCCAAATAAAACGAAAAACAAATTTCTTTCAAATGATTCAAATCTAATGGACATATTTTAGTTCATTTTCATAACCAAGTAACAATATTGAATAAAAGTTGCTGTTTTGTAGACACAACAGCTCGCTTCACTCATTTCCCTCCCAGTGTGTTGTACGTATCTAGTGGAGGAATAGCCAGGTTTGTGTGGGACTACCATGTGGACAACAGAGAGCAAGAGTTTAGTATTGAATCTCCACAATGGTCTTTCTACAGTCAGAAGCATCGCAATTTTAGTATAATCGGTGCTGATGACAAGTACACCAACAACTGGAGTTTTGTCATCAATAGAGCAACATGTCCATCAAGATTACTGAACCCTGATCGAGTAAGCAGAGAGTCCATTGCCACTCTGGTCATTACTGATGTGACTACTGCTGATAATGGAATATATATATGTAGTCTGGTGTTTAAAGGAAGCAACCCTATTGCACATCAAGTGCAACTCGTCGTGACAGGTATTTTTTACAGGCTTTAAGCCAACATTTGCATATATTGAACAACTAAGCATTTAGCTTCCAGTTTTAAATATTAAAGTAAACAAAAAACAAGATTGTACTGTACTGGTCGCTAAATAATTCAAATATCAGTGACAGACTGAAAATGAACAAGACGCTCTTGGAGCGTGCACTGGGTTGCCCAATGTGCTGGTATGCTGAAGCTTATTCAACATCTAATCTTTTGTTATGTACCGCTATTTGGGGGAGAGGGTACTTTGGAACATTTTAGGAACACTAAAAACTCGGTAGACGGAGAAAACAACGTTGCGTTACTGACGTCACTAAGTTATTATATTCTCTCCATCTTGAATTACATAATAACCTTTGACCTGACAAAGACTCGTTTCATCGCCAAGAATATGTGGAATTTGCCACTCGTCAGCGGTGTGACCATGTAACCAATGCGTATGCCCCGAGCGTTACTTGTGCTTGATTCATCATGGCGAAGCAATAATAAAGAACGCATTTTTCGGAAGGGTTTTATCGAGATTTAAATAGATTGTGAAAATGATGATGAGTAATAGCAGGCATTTTAAAGCCGGCATCACAAAAAATTGTAATATGCTTGCGTAAATAGGGCACTCCGCTGTCCGTTTTTACGCGGGCGTTTGCTTCAAAAAAAGGCCCTAGGTACTTTTTACTTGCGGAACCAATAAATTTAGAAAGCTGCTGACCAAAAGTGAAGCCGCCGTACTTTCTAAGAAAGAAACAGGCTTTTCAAAGATGTGTTTTTCGCTAACTTGTGCTTGGTTTTTGTTTATAGCACGACTGTGTAACATGCATGGTCATTACAATGATGCAAACCAAAGTTATTTACAATATTTAGAAATTGATTTTTAGGTTTAATGTTCCTCATATTTTCTCATCAATTTAAGTTTTTTTTAAGAAAACCAAAGGAAATGTCTTTAGGTTGACTGTGTGCCATGGTCATCATTATAATATACTTTGTGACATTTTGTTCAAAAGTAACTCCCACGTTCCAGCCACAGCCAACGATTACAAAGAACATAGCAGAGGGACAAGATTTGAGTGTGCCTTGTACTGCTATTGGTCCACCAACACCCAACATCACGTGGTTACAGATAGCAGGTCACGTGGTCAAGAGTACAGGAACAGGAAGTGCTACACTGAGGATACCAAACATTAGAAGAGATCAGAATGGGACGTACGAGTGTCAGGCCACCGACAACCCAAATGAGAATCCAGTCACTGCACAGACTATGGTAGTGGTATACTGTAAGTATAGAATTCCTTATTTAACAAAGTAAATGTCCGTAATCTTAAATTTCTCCTTTTTTTCTGAACTGTTAGATCTACCTGGAATCGACACATCAGAGTCTTCTATGACTTTAAAGTCATGGAATGGCAACAGTATTCATCTGAGATGTTTTGCAACTGGTTTACCTGCACCACGGATATCATGGTACAAACCAACAAATCAACAGATCACTACAGGTGTCAACATTTTACCCAGGGGTAGTGAGGTAACAGTACTTACAACTGCTGACCAAGGGGACTATGGACAGTACAAGTGTCGCGCAACAAACATTGTGGGAAGTGATGAACACGTCATCAATGTTACTCAACTGTGTAAGTTAATCTCGTAAAATATATTTACTATTGCAGTAGTAAATGTCTTGCTTAGTCCTTAGTCCGGGCTTGCGAGTTCATTAGCAATCATCTTTTTTATCTAGTTCCTCCAGGTCCTCTTGTTATAGAAATAACTGAGCTTGAAGCATCATCTATAACTATTAGATGGACCACACCTGCTGATGATGGTGGACTCGTTGTCACTGGTTACTTATTGGAAGTCAGTATCAAGCCCCCAGTGATCACAGTGAATACCCATGCTGTGATAACAAGACTGAAAGCAAACACACTCTACACTGTCAAGGTCTGTGCCAGGAATATTGTTGGATATGGAGTGGTGTCTTCAAAAGTTATCAGAACAAAGACAATCGGTAAATATATCCAAGTGATGCTGCTACTAGTTAGCAAATTTATGATAAAGGTGCTGACACACGGTGCACATTGCACACAACATTTCACGCAACAGGAATGTTGCAGCATGTGTCGTCCCCTGAAACTTATTACACGCAATTGCAACATCGCATGCAACGAATCTGAAGTTGAAGTGCGTTTTACTCTTGCAACATTGCGCGCAACAAATTTCATGGTGTGAACATAGCTGCAACATTGGGTGCAACGTTTTGAGATTTCCAGCCAATCAACATACCAAGTGATAGGTAATGCAGTCCGACTGCCTTAAATGTTACCATTAACTTGAAATTCAATTTTCCATATTGTTATTTTCTCGTAGGCAAGCCTTCAATCCCTCACCTGATATCAACTATTCTCAATGGCAAAGACTCCAAGCTCTCAGTCGTCTTGAGGTGGACAAAACCAGATGACAATGGTGGTAACATAACGCGCTATACCATCTATATGAGGGAAGTCAAACATAAAGCTGAGTGGACAAAGTATGATAACGTCACTGATTCTAAACAGCTTGAATATAAAATAACAAGGGACATTGTTTATGGCAAAACATACATGTTTATGGTTACTGCATGGAATAAATATGGAGAAAGTGTGAAGGATGATGGAAGTACTAAGACTGTAAATACTACAGCAGATGAAGCAACGGCTGCAAATGGTCTGTTTCAAAAAATATGCATAAAAATAATTAATCAAATCTAAAATGTTCATAATATAATATTCATTACAATTTTACTCCGCTTTTACTTCGAATATGTGAGAAGGTCACTATTTAGAAAAGACGAAGAAGCAAGATTGAAGGGCGCTTTGTTTCTGCTGTAGCCTTTTTATATTCATTTTATGAATCTTTTCTGTTCTCTCTCGTAATAGCAATGAGTTATTGTACTGAAGAAGGATCAAAGTATTGTAAGTAACAGAAAAAACTTTTTCTACGTAAAAAACGATATAATTCAAAATAAATCAATAAATAAAGTGCTTTTGCTTTTTAGCCATTTCTAACTTTTCTCAATTTCTTCCCAGCTTCAACAGCCATGGGAGTTGTTATTGGCATTCTGGTTCTGTTTCTTGTTTTCAACCTACTACTCATTGTATATCTAAGGAGAAGGGCCCAACTAAGCAGTACGTTTGATAAAGCATTATCGTTTATATATTGATCTTGAACCCAGAACAAGCTAGTGCTGCTCAAGATCGCGCCTAATATCTGTTTTTATCCCTTGTTATTAAAATAGGTAAAAAAGAAAGCCAAGCGCATAATAACAGGTACTATAAGAAATGGTGAATGAATTGATGTGCAACAATAAGTTGGTTGTTATATTTACTTGCTTATTTTTGTTGTTTTTGTTGTTTTTGTTTGGGGAATAGTTTGCGGATTATTTAGTGAGTATAAAACTGTGTTAATCTCTTTTTTTCTCGCTGATTACTGAAGACAAACACAGAAGAAAGCTGTTGCTGGGGAAAGTTATCATGTAAGTCATCGTCGTGTTAGGCATTACAACAAATTCGACACCTTTTCCTAAGTGTTGTGTATTTGATCTTTCATTTCAATTTTTTTCAGAACGACTTGGAATTGGAAGAAAAGGTAACATCAGCAGTTACGRCATCGCGTGCTCCACAGGCTGTCCAAACAGGACCAGAATATGAAACCATCCATCAATCAAATCCTAACGAGGCAGGCTGTTCTAGTGATGCCAGTAATTATCAAGGACTTAATCTGATGCCAAACACGTCTATTCAAGGTGCCCAAGGACCCGTGTACGAGCCCCTTGGTACAAGATCATCGAAACCCAATCTGCAGCGTAAAGATAATGAACAACATCAATACGAACCCCTGAATATTGTAAACCAAGACTCTACCTATCAATCCCTGCAGACTAATAGCAGCGAGTCGGCCATATGACAATATTATGAGTTCAAGAATATTCAGGTTAACGCGAAATGGTATTATCATTTATAAACGAAAGTGTTCAAGAGTGTTAGCCTTGAGTCATTTGGAATAGTGAAAGATGTATACTGTTTGATTAACCGTAATAGTCATTGTGGATTAGAAAAAACTAATGTATGAAGTAAGAATACCTCATAAAAAATAAAATTAATAGCTTTCGCTAAATATATAAATATATTTATGTGGCTCAGATAACGTAACCGCGTCGATGTTGGCTGTGTCGTTGTTTGTCTGTGAACTCAGTTAACTAAGAAAACTTCAGGAGATTACTTTTTTGTTTTTCTGAAGATCAGATATTTTTCAAACAATCATTAACAGCTTTTTCTTATATTTTAAAGGCAGTCTTCAGCATTAGTGCTCCTTTAAGAAGTGAAATAACTATTTGCTGTAAAGGAAGATTTCACTTTTCAAGTTTACCCAGTTTTTACCTAGTTTTTACCAGATTTTTTAAAAGAAAAAGAAAAATGAGGAAAAGGAAGGGAAAGAAAAAAAGAAGAAACAATTAAGAAAGAAAACCAATAAAATCAAGTCAAGAGCAAAAGGAAAAGCTGAGGAAAAGCTTCGATAATAAACATATTTTGGGCTACCTGTGTTAACTCTCATGTTTGCGTTACCAGATATAATCTACATAAAGTGATCAAACATTAAAGGTCATCTACAGCCAAGTAATGATCAGCATATATAACTTCTATCTCAGAACGTAAACATTATCGCTCGCTTTTTTACAGGGCATTTTATCGTTTTCCAGAGAGCTTACAACGAGCTTACAAGATGGGAGCTTTTCAATTACCAATCATGTACACTTATATTTCCTTTGTTTTCAGTGTACTTATTTTACTTCCGCCTGAAGGTTAGTCAATGTTTATTCTTTTTATCAATGCGATGGATTTCCTTTAAATCACAACATACCTTCTAATTATAATGCTCAATTTAAACATTAAGATTCTACTACCTTTAGCCTTTAGTCAGTTTTATAAACTCTTGAAATATTTGAAAAATTATTTTAGCTTTTATTATTTTATAATGAATTTACTTGCAAATCTGAAGTGTGACTGTTTAACAAAAGGATATGTTATGTCCACGTTCTATTTAACTTGTAGTTTGAGTCCGGATGAGAAGGATATTTTTTGGTTTGAATTTCATCATGGAACCAATAGTTCAATATGTGAGTCAACTGGCATAGTGCGGTCATGGTGTACAATAGAACCATTAAGTTGACTAACATATAGGGCTATGTTAAGATCAATCAGTGTGATCAATGTATTGTCGGTTAGTTAGCTGGTGCTTTGTGGTTTAACATCGGTACCACTCAGTGACCAACTGACTGTATAAGCGGCATAAGTAATGATGAACAAAATATGTTTGATAGACCACAATGATCAATCAGTAGACTTCCATATAGTCAGGATGAAAGTAGATAAATTTAGCGGATAAACTAGCGAGCGCACTCAAACCTTTGCCATAAAATGTACCATAAAAGTTTTCTAAACGCCAATAATGAGCATTTGCCTTACATCTGTATTTGCGGTATTGAAGAGATCACGTTATCCTTCACTTATACATTTTTACATTTGACTGATTCAACAGAGTGTGCACATAGTGCGTAATAGACCATTTTTGACTTCTAAATTACTCAGTGCTGTGGGTTCCTTGATTGCAGACACATCTGCCTAAATATGTCTATTTTAGTTTTCAACCATTCGCAAGAAAATGAAATAATAAAAGACACGGCGGCCATATTGGAGGATATAACAAAAGAATTCATTGACAATTTTTTTGTTAAGTTCTTCCAGCATGGCCGCCGTTAAAACCATCAATACCAATGAGGTAAAGTAAAGAATGCACAACTCAAACAATACAAATCCTTTAAAATTCCAAGGACCTTCCGTGAAAGAAATGAATATGTTGCACAAAATCGAGACTAACACTGAGCTACAGAGAACTCGAAAATAGAGTAATATCAAGAGAATATGAACTAAGAGAAGGAATCCTCGTGCCCCATCATGTGCACACTTTGATGCTATATTTAGAATCTATACTAAAAATATCATCCAATGATATCATTTGATCGTTTGATTTTCTGCACGCGCATAGTACGCGCGCGCGCTCTACGCTGTTTGCTAACGTTTTCTTGTGCTTTTCTTATGTTCAAATGTTCAATCTGCCCTCAAGATGACGATGTAGGTCAAAAGCTTTGGAAAATAAATGTAAAGATACTCCAGAAATTTAAACAAATTACTACTTTAAATTCCTGTTGTATTTGCCAAGCTTTCAACGTGCACATTCATATTCAGGGCAGAGTCGAAATAGCGGAAAAAACCCCAAACGTAAGCAAACAGCGTAGAGCGCGCGCAATAAATGCGCGTGCAGAAAAACAAATGGTTTAAAAATAGCATCAAACTGTGCACATGATGGTTACAAGGCTATATAGGCGGGATTCCTTCTCTTAGTTCATTTTCTCTTGGTAATATGCATTACACAGCATTAATTTAGTCAAACATAAATATTCAGTCTGATTACCAATGATCTTTGACACATCTTGTACATTCATTTGAAGCTTTTCCACCAGCCATGCCATCATTATCGTTCTCGGTTTTTGTTATAGCACATGGCGCCATAAACTCTATCATACGAAATGTTGGTCAAGATTTTGTCTTTATGTGGAACAGAACAAGTGGTAATATAGTGGAAGTGAGATGGGGATTGGTGGATCCAGTAGATAACCAAGGGATAAAACCACAGTTCATATATGTCAACAAATGGGCCAACGTTGCTGTCTATAGCGCTGCCTTGGATACCCCAGCTGCATCGAGTTATAAAGGAAGAGTTTATTACGTGGGAGACTTGCCTGCTGGTCGTGCTTGGTTCCAAATAACCAACCTTAGTATCAGTGATGCCAAGGAATATGCTGTTAGCATCTTGGAAGGAAGTGTTTACACGATATACAAAATGGGCCTGACTGTGACAGGTCAGCACCTTCAGCAATCTTTTATCCTTAAGGCAAGATGAGAAGGAGTGTGTTTGGGCAGCATTACAAGGGAAGGATCGAAGATTCTGTCTCTTTTGTAGAAATCCATCCTGGGTTTTCAGACCCCTTACAAATATTCATTTAAGATAAAAATTACTTTTGAGGAAAATATTGACTTTTCTTTTATCATAATCAACATATTTTTTCCTTCTTTTAGAAAAAGTTTCAAATTTTTAAGTGAAAATTGATTTGCCTATTTACTATGGAGGATCTCTCTTCATATTTTATGTTCATTTTGAAGAACTGGTTGTCTTAAATGGGTTACGGTCACTTGTTTGTGCAGACTATTGACTATTCAACTTGCTTACATAAGCGTGACGTTTTCTATGACGCTTTGTTTAAAAGTAACTCCCCAGTTCCAGCCACAGCCACCACTGACACAGAACATAGCAGAAGGTCAAGATTTGAGTGTGCCTTGCACTGCTGTTGGTCCACCAATACCTAACATTACGTGGGTGCAGATAGTAGGTCACGTGACCAAGATTACAGGAACAGGAAGTGCAACACTGAGGATACCAAATATAAGAAGAGATCAGAATGGGACGTACGAGTGTCAGGCCAGTAACAACCCTAATGAGAATCCAGTCACTGCACAGACTGTTGTGTCTGTTTATTGTAAGTATGAGCAGGGCTATTATTTCACCGCTCTTGGTTTGTTTATTGTCGTTATCGTTTTATTGATATGCGCCAATCAAAAATTTACGTAAATGTAACGTAATTGTAGATCCTCCCCGAACCACCATTACTCCTCCAATTATCACAGTTGTAGAAGGTGATGAGATCGTACTCAGCTGTACAGCAGATGGTTATCCACCACCATCCATATCATGGAAGAAGGCTGACGGTGTCATCAAAGCTGGTCACACAGTAGGTGGGGGAACACTTAGAATACCTGATGCTATCAAAACAGATGCTGGGCAGTACATATGTACAGCAAAGAACGCCTACGACAGCAGAGAACACACTAACAATGCAAATGCAACTGTTATAGTTAAATGTAAGTATACCTATGCTGGATATCTGTTCATTGGAAGTCCTCAGTGCATATATCCTCTCGAGACATTTGAATGATTTTAGATTTATTTTTGTATGTATTGATCGACTCCTCTTAAAGGATGCTAGGAGGAGTTCATTAATGCATTATTAAAAATGAAATATGTTGATTTCATCAAAAAGACGTTAATCACTGTTAAAAGCACTTTTTAAAAACCACTCACCTCTAGTATGGCATTGCTTCGTACTTTTCACAAGTGACATCCGACCTCCATTCTGTTGTCGTCGCATCCTCTTTCTATTTGGGTTATATGATTGTAACATATGTTCTAATTATGATAGACCAGCCCTTGATCATGTTGGAAAAGTTACTTAACCAAACCGTGAATGAGAGCGACTCCCTGAGTATCAAGTGCGAAGCAGATGGAAACCCACTACCAACCATCAAATGGAAGACCCCAACAGGATCTGTCCACACTGGGAATGTCTACAGCATCCCGTCAGTCAGCAAATCACATGCAGGGACATACACGTGTACAGCTAGTAACGGGATAGGGAGAGATGCAATGACCAGTATACAAGTTACTGTGCAGTGTGAGTAGTCACAGCAGTCAGTCTACATTCTGTTTGTCGAACATTGTGACTACTGCGTCCGTATGTCTGTCTGTTTGTTAATTTGTTTTTGTGCGTCTCTTTGGTTTTTCAATTTGATGATTGGCAGTTGTTTTGTCGAAAAAGATAAAAGTATTAAAAGTTTCATGGAAAAGGCTGTAGACGACAAAAAAATCAAAAAAGCTCATGATTTTAGTTGAAATGTTTGATATAAGGGGAAAACAATCTTGGTCGTCTGCTCCTGTTGTTATCTTAGCCCGTTGTAGGTCGTCTCATTCCTAATAAAGTCAATAGTGACAGTGGCGTAGAAATCCCTAAAGCATAAATACCGGCAATATATATAAAAATAGAAAGAATATGTGTGAAGACTCAACAACCAAACAACCAATCACAACTAGCATACAAACACACCATCCAGTATACATGCACCATCGCCTGATGAAGACCAGCAGTCAAAATGTTGGGAATCCTTCTACAATTTACTCTCAATTGTGAGACAAATGAATAAGTGTGATTTTTAGCAATCCTACCAAAACTATTGATAACAGTTGCATATTTGTTTTTCTTCTATTTCAAAACGAAAGCCGAAATACACATTTCTTTCTTGTTAGATCCACCTGATATTGATGCATCAAAGTCTAGTCTTCTATTCAAGGCATGGAATGGTAAAAGTATTCGACTCAGATGTTTAGCAACTGGTTTACCTGCACCATGGATATCATGGTACAAACCAACAAATCAACAGATCACTACAGGTGTCAACATTGTACCCGGGGGTAGTGAGGTAACAGTACTGACAACTGCTGACCAAGGGGACTATGGACAGTACAAGTGTCGAGCAACAAACATCCTTGGAAGTGATGAACAATTCATCAATGTCATTCAGCTGTGTAAGTAGAAGTTGATTCAAACGTACAGTGTACATTCCAGTCAAATCGATTTTCCAAGATTGGCCATAAATTGAACTTCACATTTTCCAAGAGTTCTGGTTTTCTTGTAAAAGTTGTAGCTAACAACATATCACTGATTTAATACAGTTCCCCCAGGTCTTGTTACCATAAATGTTATCGAGGTAGAAGCATTATCCATGAAAATTACATGGAACAAACCTGGTAATGATGGTGGAAGACCTGTCATTGGTTACAAGGTTGAAGTAAGTACCAAGCCACCAGTTTTCACTGTGAATACCCAAGCTGTTATAACAGGACTCAAAGCAAACACCCAGTACACGGTCAAAGTGTATGCTCGGAACATTGCTGGGTATGGTCAACAACTGATGAAGGTCATCACTACCAAGAAACAAGGTAACAAAAAAGTTACCTTGCACATGATTTGTTACCATATTTTTTTAAATACAGTATGCCAGCTGAAGTTATTGGATGTGTAGCGAATCAAGATTTTTTTTCTCAACATAGGAAGCAGGTACCCGATTTATTCCAAATAAAATATAAACCATAAAATTTACCTCGATTATGATTGATTATGACTGTTGACAGGAGAATAAGATTTAAGAGAAGGGATCCCCGTGCCCCATCATGTGCACACTTTGATGCTATTTTAGAATCTATTAGTAGTACGCGCGCGCTCTGCGCTGTTTGCTAACGTTTTCTTGTGCTTTTCTTATGTTAAATGTTCAAATCTGCCCTCAAGATGACGATGTAAGTCGAAAGCTTTGGAAAATAAATGTAAAAATACTCCAGAAATTCGAGCAAATTACTACTTTCATTTTGTCAAGCTTTCGACGTGCACATTCATATTCAGGGCAGAGTCGAAATAACGGAAAAACCCCAAAAACGTAATCAAACAGCGTAGAGCGCGCGCAGTAAATGCGCGTGCAGAAAAACAAATGGTTTAAAAATAGCATCAAACTGAGCACATGATAGTTACAAGGCTATATAGGGGGGATTCCTTCTCTTAGTTCCTTCTCTCTTGCTCTTGATCCTTTCAGCAAAAAAAGGGATATGGATTATACAAACTGCCCTATCAATCAGGTATACAAACCTAAGATCCGTTCCGTTAAATGCCTTTTTTCTCTAGGTAAACCAGGTGTTCCTCAATTAACAATTAGCATCAACGATACAGCAGAATTATTTATCAGATTGACATGGACAAAACCTAATGATAATGGAGGAGATCTAATCAAGTTTACCATCTACATGAAAGAGGATGATGAATTTAATTGTACAAAAGCAAAGGATATCCTTGATTTATCAGTTCTGGAGTATACATTAAGAAAAAGTGTTGATTACGGAAAGAACTATACGTTTCTAGTGACTGCATGGAATAAATACGGAGAAAGTATGAAAGATGATGTGATGGCGAAGACAATATCCATACCTCAGATTAAACCAACATGTGAAACGAACACACGTGGTACGTGGAGATAATCGTAATTTAAGTTACCCCATTCAACGTTCGAAATGGACTGCATGATTGAAGGGGTGGCATGGGTGGCGTTGTGGTTTACCGCTTGCCTCTCTCTGAGCTCCGCCGGCTCAGACTGGATCATATGTGACTCCAGTGGGCTTTATGTGTTGTTCTCTCCCTTGCCACGAGGGTTTCTCTGGTTTCCTCCCTTCACAAAAATCAACATGTGAGTTGAGTGTTGTATGTTGTAAATATAGAATGTAGTGGTGGTACGCGTGGAGAGAACCTCACGGAAGCACGGAATTCCGAAAAGCCCCCACCTACGCGAAGTAATATGCTGTAAATATGTAAAATATGACTTTGTTATAATGGGCCTTACTTAAGAATCATTCGTTTTGTTTAATATTAGGTAACGCTAAGACCAGTATTGAGGACACAAGTGGAAAACACTCAAAATGTAAGCAATGGTTAAAATTTAAATGGTTACTATTATTATTGTGAGCAAAATGTTTTGAAGAATTTGAAACTGGATTTGGCTCTATGATTCTATGTTGGCACGTAACGTCATCGCGGCCATATTGGTACCATTTAACACAAGATTTCTCATTAGCATCCATTGTTAACGGCACCACAATGGCCGCCATGCTTTTGTCTTTTATCTTTTAACTCTCTTTGGAATACTTGCAACCCATAAATGAAATTGATATATATATATCGTTCGCGGGCTTCCTGTGGTGACAAACCACGCTCCCCTCCCCTACACATTTCCAGTCCTTTTTCGGCCAAAACCAAGATGGCTGACTAGTTAGTGATGTTTTCACTCGATTTACTGTAADTTTGAGCAGTTTTGAGCAAGACATTCGCCTATTTAGAGAAGAAAATTATATTCCAATTTCCAAAGGAATTGACAGGAATTGAAAGGAATTGACTGGAGGAGTGAGCTACTTGGAAGAGACTTAAATGATGCAGTTTCTCATTTTTATTCTGTGGTATGCCCTGTGATTGAAATCTGTTTTCCCATGAAAAAGGTCAAGATGTCATCKAATGATCCTGTATTTATYACACCTCTTGTAAAGTATCTGTTAAAGAAAAGACAAAGGTTTAGCCAGAAAGGTATGATTGCTGAAGCAAATTCACTTCAGCCAAGGATAAGTGAACTCATATTTGAAAATCAGATCAACTCCGTCAAAAGCAAAAATGAGAAGCATGGATCCACTACTAAGCAGTGGTGGAAGACAGTAAACACTATCACTGGTAGAGGGGCAAAGGATGTCCCACTCAGTTCAATCTTCTGTCTGGAAGATATCAATAACTTTTTTCAAGAAATTAATACAGATACTAAATATAAAACTCCTATTCGAATGGAAATTACAGAACATACAAGAATGCCTGTTGTTGATGAATCTACTACATTCAAGTTCCTATCACATGTTAAAAAAACAGCCTCAGGTCCAGATGGTATTCAGCACTGGTTCTGGAAAGAATTTGCACTAGAATTAGCTCCAGTTATCACTCACTTATTCAACCTATCTATTGAAGCTCAATCAGTTCCACTGCCATGGAAAGTTGCTAACATAACTCCTATACCTAAAGAATCTCCGCTTCAGACTATCGATCAACTGCGTCCAATATCTGTGACTGACATTATAATCAGACTCTTTGAACGTATAATTTATAACTTAGAGATTAAACCAATCATAGAGATAGAAATAGGTCAGGATCAGTTTGCCTATAAACAGGGTTGTAATACCACATTGGCACTATTGCAGTGCCAACATATGTGGATGAAATGGTTGGATGGGATGGCTGATAGTGTAAGGGATTTAGCCTTTGATTTCTCGAAAGCCTTTGATTCAGTGAATCACTTTATCTTACTGAATAAATTTAAACAATTGCCTATTAACCCATATATATTTAACTGGGTAGTGGATTTTCTTACTCATAGACAACAGACAGTTATTAGTGATGGTATTTTTACTCCTTTTGTATCTATAAATAGGGGTGTTCCTCAAGGAACAATTTTGGGTCCCGTGCTTTTTTCTGTTATGGTAAATGACATCAAACCAATCAATAACTCTAAGTCCATTTTGGTTAAATATGCAGACGACGTAACTTTAAGTACATTTAGGATTGGTAATAATGATTGTGCTACCCAAGAGGTAGACTCCATTAAGAAGTGGGCTCAGGATAATTTAATGAAGATTAATTTATCTAAGACTAAGGAACTTGTTGTCAAGGGTAAGACTGTGGCACCTATTCCCAATTCCATACAGGGTATTGAGCAAGTAAAACATATTAAACTATTAGGTGTCTATTTCCATAGTAACCCCACCAACTGGGACACCCAATTTGATAATTTACTAAAAAAAGCGGGGAAGAGAATGTATATACTAAGGATCTGTAAGAAATATGGTTATAGTCTGGAATGCCTTCATCACCTTTTTCAATCTATCATTATGTCTCTATTTACTTATGCCATTTCAGTTTGGGGCTGTGCCAGTTACTCTAAATATTTACACAAAATAAATGCTTTGCAGAATAGGGCTCTTAAATTTAGTTATATTAAGAATACGGTTCCAGTGAAAGACATGATTGAAAAATCGGATTTAAGATTATGGGATAAAGTAACTCGGCCTAATCACCCTTTATTTCACTTGCTCCCACCTAAGAGAACCAGGGTCTTAAGAGATAGAATACATGGTTTTATTCTCCCGTCAGTAAAAACTGAGCGTTTTAAGAACGTTTTCTTGAATAGATGTCTTTTTAGATAAGTATTTAATAATTTTTATATATTGTATTATTAATCATTTTAGCATAATTTTTACATGTATAATTAGTTTGGTTAGTCAATTTATAATTAAGGACGTTTGTTTTCTTAATAAATAAAGAGCTATAATAAATATGGTAAGTACATTCCTTATATGGTAAAAGAAACGGCTCGAGCGGAACGACAACTTTTCTACGTAGAAATATTGATATGAAAGTTTTAGCGATCCGGTGTATATACATATATATATATATATATATATTAGTTTATTATATCTTTTTATTTAAAGTTCTGATCGGTGTGAGTGTCATAGCTGCGATACTTGTAGTTTCGCTGGTTCTTAACGTGCTGCAGTTTCTATACATATGGAAGAGGATTAAACCCAATGGTATGTGTAAAGCTACGATTCACGACCTTAAGAAATTTAAATATATGTTCATGAATAACCCCTCTTATCTCCAGCTACTTTTCTGATACTAATAACAACACACCAATGAACTAATACAATGATATAACTGCTTTAAACTCATGACATAATCATGATATTATTTGTTAATAGAACACGGAAGAAACAGCTTTAAGGAAACGTAAGTATTTGCTCTTTATTTTGTGGGTTTTCTATTTCCAAATAATATCATATCGTTTCACTGTTTTCCTGCTGCTAACATTTTTTTAATTGCAATGATTTTCCCTCTTTTGAATATGTTAGGCGTTACCACTTTTTTCTTTTTGTTTTCTAATTTTTTCTTTTCTTTTTCTTTTTCTATCTCATGTTATTGAAAAAGGAAAACAAATAAGCAAGAAGAGGTTGATCAAACATACGACGTACGTACATGTTCATGCAATTGAAAATTAAAGAGGGGATCATAGAATTCAAAAGAGGCCTTCAATGTCTCGATTGAGAAATTATCAAGAAAAATAGGTTTAGGAATATGACTTTTTTTCATTTGACTGCTTTTAATCTTGCAATTATGTTATTTTTAGAACGCAATGGAATTGAGCGTGAACACGTCATCATCGTCTGGCATGAAATCGGGATTTAGTCCAAAAACAACATCGGCCCCTGAATACGAAGCTGTCAAATTGCAACAATCACCTCGTCGTAATCAAAACCCTGCCAAGTCCATTGTTTACGAGACACCTTTACCTTGTGAGTCTAGTAAACCAAGTCATTACCAGGAACTGTCGCCTATTGACACTGCACAAGACACCAAGAGACCAGTGTACGAACCTGTTCGTACAAGAGTCCCGCGTAATGACAACGAGACGAACATGTACCAGCCACTTGGTCTAAGAAACGAAAGCTCTGATTACCAGACCCTGCATGCTAAAGGAAATGACTCATTTATATAAAAGTATATTTGTATATTCAGACATTAAAGAGCGTTCGATAACAATGCTTAGCGAGAAAAACAGTTTCAGTTCGTTTATCGGTTTTTAGGTTTCCAGTTCTCATGAGGTCGAAATGATTTTGCTTTTTACTCCAAATTGAACATGACGTCAAGGAGTCAATACCACCGGATGTACGACTTTTCTGTTATTTGATTGGTTGTATTTTTAAGGACGTGAAATAAAAATATAGTTCATCTGCTTTCTTCGGAATGCTATTTGCTAATTTTTTTATTTTAATCCTTTTTAGCTCGCAAAGAGCTATCGAGGTGGCTAGAGTTTGCACTTTTCGGCGGATAACGCTTCTCAGCCAATCGTCTTGGGTAATTAACGTAACCATGGAATCCATTGTATTCGCCAATTGACGTCACTGGAAAAATCCACGAACGTTGCCTTTGCAGAGGAAGCCATTTTGGATTTTCGATCACTTCATAATGATTAGATGTAATCAGCAGCATATTCTGAGTATTCTTAGTTTACTTTACGCTCTTTTTATTGGACCTTGAGATATGAGATTGTCGTATTATCATCACGTTGGAAGAAGAATCCGAAAATATTGGATCGATTAGACTAGGCCCAAAATAATCTCGTAGAAAACTTTCGTAACCAGAAGTCGGAAAAGAAAGGATTGTAGCCAATCAGAAGCGAAGAATTTAATTGATAAAGACAACAGTTTGTTTGTTTGCAAAACATAACTCCGAGTATCGCCTACTCGGGTCACAGTACCCACAATGAAATGAGTCACCAAGTGTCATTTGTTATCATCTTAGTTGATTGGTACTCAAAAACGCTTCACAAGCTTACCATGGGTTACCTTTGATTTATTTATTAACCAAAATTATTTATTTTTAGCATATATCGTTATGTTATTTCCTTCTGTCCTTCTCTTTTCTCGATAGTTTCAAATATAAGTATCCTTAGCTCTTCCTCTTACTATTATCACTATCAACTATCTACAGTTTTTGCAGAGTTGTTTCTATAAATTTGCACGATGGACTATATACATTGTATGAATCTCAAACGCATGCCACATTTCAATTTTTAATTTTCACACAAAAAGTATTTGTTTTACATCTATTCAAGCAAACGAACCGACATTTTAAGGCTCTATTCTTTCTCAAAGATTTTGCTCGTTGAGCAAGTCAAAGCTTCGTCGCTTCGTCATAGGGATCTTCCGGTAGTGGTTGCTTAGTTACGGTTTCTTTGTCATCTTTGTCGTCTTGTGCAACGCTGACATAAACGTTGTTGACAGACATGTCGTGATCCTCAGGTGGCGATTTTGTTTCCTTTTTAAGAGGTCTACGAGGAAAGTACAAACAAAAGCTCTCTTAAATAGCTTACTGATCACGTGTCATTGCTTTGGGAATAAGATGTTCATCAAGTTGTATTTTTATTCATATGTTTTTTAATGTGCAACTGTTAAAGAATAAAGCAGTGTTAAGAAAATGGCACAGTCTGAGATAGAAGATTACACCTAGAAGCTTAAAAGTAGATTGCTGGGTTTCAATCGAAAAAAGTCTTTCAATCTCATTATCTGCACCCAAATAGTGGTCAAACACTTGCCATCATGTGCTGTCCACAGAAAAAATTCTATTGAAAACTTGTGGTTCAGCTAATGAACATGATTCCGCACGAGACAGGAAATGACGTCAAGTAAAATCCAACCAAAAGAGTATAGAACGGTTTCAAAATGGCTAATTATTCAGGCACTTTGAATAATTAAAACTATCAAAATTTCCTTATTTGGGAGAATAAACATATTTGTGTGGAGTGTGGAGTGTGGAGTGTGGAGTGTGGAGTGTGGAGTGTGGAGNGTGGAGTGTGGAGTGTGGAGTGTGGAGTGTGGAGTGTGGAGGAGTGTAGAGAGTTAGGAATGTGGAGTGTCAAAAGGGGATTACATGAATCCAATGTTGCATTATTTTTAACCAACATCTTTATATTACTTTTCTTTATCAGTTACTTACGTTTTGACATGTACTTCCTCAGATTCTATGAACAAGGAAAAAAATATATTTATCAGTTTACAAAATGGTTTTAAATTTCGGTCCAGTTATTGTCTGAGCTTTGGAACGGGTTATGGTTTCGGTGGCGATAGTTTTTGTGCATTTATTCTGCAAACAAATACCTTTAGCAAAGGTGCCTCTCTTGGCTCGTCTCCAGCAATAAGCGATTAAACAAATAATGACTACTAAGAGAATACTTCCAATAACGATGACGGCCACCCCAGGAATAAACCCAATGCCTGAGGGAAGAAGAAATAAACATTAATATTGTAGGGTGATATTAGCCAATAAGGTGTATGATAGCGACGGACGACATGCAGGTCTAAGCTATTTTGTAACTCTAAGGGTATTATTACTTGAAAAAAATAATGAGCAATATCTTGATTTAAGATTTGATTTTTAATTTCATTGATGACGATGATGATGATGATGATGATGATGATGAATATGGTAGCCACTGGTAATGCTGACATTGGAGATTATGATAATGCAGGACCTTAGCCACCGGTACGCTTGGACCGCTTTCAACCGGGCCGGCTTTCATGAAAAAAATATAAGGAAAATATAAAAAATGTAAAAAAATCGCGAAAGCTCTCGAAAACTGAACCAAATTGGTGGCTACGGCCCTGTACTGCTGCTTCTGAAGATGATGATGATTCTAATGACATTGCTAATGACAATGCCCATGACAATGACGATGCTGCTGTTATGCTGATCATGATGACGATCATAATGATAACGTTGCTGATGATGTTAGGGACGATGTTAATGACGATGCGGATGACGATGCTGATATGATTATGTCGACGATGCTGCTGCTGCTGGTCATGATGGCGATGATAATGATAACGTTGCTGATGATGATGCTAATGACATGCTAATGACGATGCTGATGACGATGATGATAATAATGGTGATGCTTAGTAATTCAAATCTGTCGCCATCTTTCGATTCGGTGTGTAACGGAGGAAAAATACAGACTAACCCTGAGAATTATCTACCACTTCTTTACCTTTTTCGCACTGTGTTCCAAACCGAAATAGTTTACAATCACATCTGTATCCGTCTCCTTGTTCGTAGCACGTGCCGTCGAATTTGCATGGCTGTTCACCGCAAAATGAACCTGCAACGAGAATGTAAGCAGTCATATCTCGGGTAGATAGCCTGTGATTAGGGGCTGCTAACAAGGAAACTTTGCTAGTGGGCGACTTGCACTAACAGGTCAGGTGACCCTTTATAGCTCAAGGGGTTACAAGTCACGTGAAACTACCTCAAAAATACAAAGAGATTTTACAACATCACCTGCCCGTTCCCATAATACAGCTTGCCCTGCATGTGGTTAGATGGCAGAACAATAAAATCCCTTTGCCCTTGTGAATTGAATTATTTTTATTATGTAAAACGATCGTGTTTTTTATGCCATCTAACATGGCTGCCGTGACGTGGTAGTGCAAAACCACTCATAGAGGCTTTATGCCATCACGTGATGTCAGCCATGAAAGGAGGCAGGAACAATTGATTCTGTTCTAATCTGATTTACATGAGGAAGAATTCAGTTTTTGATGTGCCTCCTGTCATGGCTGCCATCAGGTGACGAAGCAAAGCCCCTATTGTCTATTAAACTTACTGTAAGGCTCAACTCTTGTGATCAGTGCTGATTGGTCGAGAATCAAGGGTCCCAAAGTATCGTTGACTGTTTCTGCTTTGACGACGCCAAGGACTTCACTGCTATACTTGTCTTGTTTTAAAGTCAGTCGGGTTTCAGAAATAACACTTCCCTTACTAGAAATACGTACAATTGAAAATTAAAACATTGTGAAATCCGACCCGATCCTGATCTACAAACAGCATATTTCATTACCGTAGACTTATGAGTTCGCATTTGGAAAGTTCATCACTGAAGAGGCGTTGCATCTAAAGAACAAGAAACAAAATTTGGTTTGGGTCAACTTCTAAAATAAAAACAACCATAATAACCTAGATTTATGTCATGATGCTGGGAGTTGCCCCTAAATAGAGGCTAAAATACGCGATTACACGAAGCAATTTCCCCTGTACCCCCCTATATTTGCTATACTGGTACATGCCGCCAAACAGGGTATGGTTTTCAGCGATTCTACTCTGGATCAGGGTATATAAAATCACGCTCGCTCTGGGACAGGGTATCCATTTTCGCAATACCGGAACAGGGTATGATTTTCAGCGATCTTGCTCTGGAACAGGGTATAAATTTCAGCGATTTTACTCTGGAACAGGTTCAGGGTTTAGTGGGCTCAGCGGCACATCCCTAAACTAAAAAGGGAAAGAGTACCCCTCTCACAGTGGTAAAATGCGAATTCACCGGTTAACAACTTTCCCCATCAATAAATGAAAAGATTCTAACCATACCCCGAGTTTTTCGTCATTATAACGTGACCTAAACTTTCCGATAGACAAAAAAAAAAAACATCCAAAAAGGACACTGGTGAAAAACGCACTGCGCACGCTCGGAGATGGCGTACGTAACTAAGGGCAACTCATATTTTTGATGCCAGTATTTTAATTGTTTTACAAAATCGCAAAACTTAAGAAAAATACTGAAAACTTAAGGTTTTCCTTTTCGCAATAGCAAGATAATTTCGATTGTGATACACAGCTGATTTATACAAAAAAAATTTTTTGTTTATCCAAAAGCAAAAATTATCTTTGAAAATGTCGCCACTAGCGGCCCGACGTCGACATCCATGCAGCATGGCTAATTTGCAGATAATCACATGGTCGGATTGTATGTAAAGAAATCTGAAAAATATTTGTAAAATTTCAAAACGAATATTTAAGAAATAGCCTTGTCGGTTAAAATAAGGCATACCTTTAGATGTGATAAACTGATATTGTTCGCCATTTTTTTTTCAACGCATGCGCAGTGCGTTTTTCACCAGTGTCTCCAAAAAGCTCTTAATAGACTTACCTCCGAACAAATTTTGTCTTCGACCTGTGTGTACGCTGGGCTTCCTGTGTCTTTATAGTCTTCGATCCAATCGATATTAACTATGTAGAGTGTTATGGTGAATTTGGATTTGAATGGATCTAAAAATGGGAATAAAATTAAGAGATTAGGATTTGGATTTATTGCCTCATTCACTCCCTTCGTTCATATACTTTCTGTGGCTTGCTCACGCGTGCTAGCTCATGCACATATTTTTTATATATTCACCAAATAACTCTTATCTGCTCACAAGCTATAGCTTGATTCCCATCCGCTAACTGGCCAATTTATTCATTAAAAGATCTAATACTCTAAAGAAATATTAATGCAATTTACCACTTTATAGTGAACGTAAAATCCTTCACGTTTTGCAACCCACTTGTTAATGTAAGGCAACCAACACATTTAACTTGAATTTAGAATTTGATTTTTGTGGAAGAAGGAAAAAAAAATCCTTATTATTTGAGATGTCCGTCCGCTACTAAATCAGGACGGGAGGCAAAATCAAACATCAGATATTTGCAGTCTATTTCCTCACCTAGTTCGTCGCATAGTCTTCCAGTGAGTCCCTTGGGACAGTTGCAGTAGTATGTGGTACCTTGACTGATGCATGAGGTATTGGACTTGCATTTATTGTTCTGGCAAGCTAATAAGATACCAAAACACCACAAACAGTAAATAAGCATTACACCTTTTCATTAATGTAAATATATATGCCAAAGTGGTTTTCCTCTTTTTTTTTTTTTTTTTTTTGCATTAGAAAAGATGGCCTATTGTTTTGTCTCCCAAAACAATTCCGCTCGGGACTCGAGGGGTCTATTTTTAGTAACTGTGAAAAAGGTATTTTTGTATGTAAGCCTATTGCAAAAGTATTTTTACTATGTAGACCAGTATCATTGTTTTTCACAATACATCCCCCCCCTCCCCCAAATCAATGTTGGGGCAAACGGGGCGTTTGGGATGATGTGTGGTTTGACCAACATTGAGTTGGGGGAGGAGGGAGCTTCATTGGTGAAATGGCGTGTAAACTTGAGAAATTATGGATATTAAGACAATATTTAAAAATTTAGCGCTGACTTTTCAAGTGTCCCAATGACTTTTGTCCAGGATTGTCGCAACATGATGACGCCCAAAGACTTCAAAATCCAACACAATAATATTAACTAATAATAATAATAATCAAGATACCTTTAACTATAAGAGTGAACGTTGCCCTCTTAGTCAAACCATATCCATTAGTAGCTGTACATGTGTAGTTTCCCGCAACACTCTGTTCAGGCGATATTTTAAGCCGTTCTCCTCGTGCTATTATGCTGTTGTCTGTGTCTTTAGTCCAGATAGTTACTGCAGGAGGATTTGAATCCACTTCGCAGGTAAAATCAACTTGCTCATTTTCGTACAGTGTGACTTTTGGTTGTGTAGGCAATGTTTTTATAAATGGCCCATCTAATAAGAAAATCAAAAATTGTGTATACAAGATAAAGTATAGACCCCTTGCGCTGAGTCCTCAAAGGAATTGTTTTGGGGAACAAAAGCGGTTTTTCCTAATGTACAATTGTTTTGTTCCCAAAACAATTCCTCATGGGGTCTACAGAGTCTTTGCACCATCAAGTGATGCCAGCCATGACAGGATGTAAATCAGATGAGACCAGATTCAATTGTTCCTGCCTCCTGTCATGGCTGCCGTCACGTGATGGTGCAAAGCCGCTATAGTTTTGGTAACATTATGATCGTGGCTTTCTTTTTATAAACTTAGTTGCAAAAAGCATTGTTGTTGTATGTTGTATTTTTTTGACCAGACAATATAAGTTTGCAATTGCCAGATTTCATAATGACATCACATCAAAAACTGTCGTTTTAACGCTAGGGACCATGATTGCTGGAGGCGGGCGGAATGACAACAGCACGTCTTAAATCACAATGAAATTAGGTTAATGAGCTGGTGAGGGCAAGAACAACTAAATGTTACGCTAAATATCTCGAAAGAAGAGAATTAAGCTTAAATTTAGCCCAAAATTTCTATCATTTTAGCCGATGTAAACAAATCGTGACGTCATTATAAAATCCGGAAACTGAGTGTTTACAATGAAAACCAAAATCGACTTCCGAATGAGTGTTGACAATGAACAATGAAAACCAAAATCGACTTTCAATTACTTACAAGTAATGTTAACGAAAATTGATCTATTGATTGGACTACCAACAATGCCATTGTCCACAATACAAATATGATGTCCTATATGTTGCTTGTCAACACTGGTAAAGTTATGCGCCAGATAATGTCCAGTGACTTCCATGTAAGACTTAGCATGACGGGAATTTTTCCAGACGATCTTTGGCGTTGGGCATCCTGTTGCCTTACAAGTTAAATCAAGGGATGTTCCTTCTTTCATAACAAGAGTGTTGTTGACTGGAGAAATGCTCATTGTGACAGGTGCTGGGATAGAAAAAAAAAGAAACAAAACCAGTTCTTAAGAGTTGTACATTAGTACATTATTAGGGACTTATAATTTCACTTTGGGGTTTCGCGTCTTCAAAGCCTGTCTTCCCTGTGGATGAGTTGACTTTACTGACAATGTTTTGAATGAATTCTCCAATGAACAGGACCCCAGAGAGAAATTATTTACACTTCCGGTTGACGTCGCCGTCGTAGATTTTGCAAATCTTAAAGTCGCTATTATGAGGTACGTACCTTGTGCAGTTACATTTGTATGCACCAATGACCCTCTTCCAATGGAGTTGGACGCAAAGCAGGAAAATGTTTCCAAATTGCAACCGTTTTTATTCCGCAAGACGTATTTAGCGGTGCAAGTGTGGCTGTTTATCGTAGCCAATGTCACATTTCCCTTCAGAAACACTACTGAGCATTGATTTGGATTGGCTGTGGAGCTGCAGGTGAGTTCGAGCAATTCACCAAGCAGGATTACGTTGCCGGGTTTATTCGTGGTGAGTATGGTATTCTCTGGCTTATCTGCATCCAAGAAAGTAAAAAGAACATTGAATTTAATATTTTTTTTAATGAATGAAAACACATAAAAAGTATAAAAAAAAGGAATGCGCGCACTTCTATGCGCAGATTTTAAGGACGCGAAAAATTGGTTGAAAACAAAATAATTTTTTCTTTTTTCCTGAATCCAAAACATAATCATTCGGCATCTTTTATGTTTTCGATCAGCGAGGAGGAAAAATTAATTCTACTAAAAGCTGCTGACATTTTTGAGTTAGGAGAAAGTCGCAAACTGCAGTAAACGGTGACGGCGACCGGTCTCTTCAGTGGTCGTGTAATAGAGGTTAAAGTGTCATAGGCGGCATTGACAACCGATGGTACTGAAGACATATCTGTATTATACGAACACCTGTCTGATTCGGACACTTGGTCCGATCTCTTTATTGTCCGTATTATATAGGTTTAAGTGTTGTACTCACAGGTGATATTGACAACGATGGTACTGAAGTCATAGAGCAGTTTTCCTTTGAATATGAAAACCTCACGGCACGAACACGGTCGTGACACGGCAAGGGATTCGCCAGACCAATCACACTGTTCGAAAAGTGGTGTCACAGCACTGTCATACCAATCACATTGCGCGAGAAATAAATCAGCCGATCAAGATTCTAGAAACCATCACGGTCAGGGCAAGGTACGCATACGACACTGCACTATCTGTATTATACGGACACCTGGTACGGATATCTGTTACGGGCATTTTGCTCGCTCTTCAGTGTTCGTATAATAAAGGTTTAAGTGTTGTACTTACAGGTGACATTGACAGCGATTGTACTAAAGACAGATCGTCCAACGATTCCGTTGTCTGCTTCACATCGATAGGTCCCTGAATCACTTTTACGTAAGCTACCAATAGTGTATCGAACGACGCCATTGCCTTTAGCGAGAGAAACCTCAGTTCCTATCTTAGACCACGTGACATTAGGAGTTGGACAGCCTTTGGCGTTACAGGCTAGAACTAATGGAAAACTTTCACTCCTGACTACATTACCTCCTGCTGGAGTTATAGTGATTACTGCAGGCACTTAAGATAAGAAATAGAAAAGGTATTTTATTATCTGTTCCAACAATTAGTGGTCAAACACTGACCTCCGCCAAACCTGTCTGAAAAAAAGTGTTAGCCAATGGGAATCAAGAAAATTTGCAAAACTGAGATGTCACATTTCCAAATAAAACCAATAACGTTGCTGATACGCGTTTGATAACAATGATCCATTGATCCATTGTTTTCATTTTTATTCCAAAAGCGGACATGTTTTTATTTTGCAATGGTCAATTTTCATGACAAGTCACTTTTGCAGTAACGTCATTTCCTAGTCAATATTTCAGATCGTATTGACGAGTTTACCTTGCACAATAATGCTGGATTTAATATCGCCACTATTCCCCGCGGTGTTACTTGCCGAGCAAGCAAAAAGAACCTCATTGCAGCCTTGTATATTTGTTATCACGTGACTTAACGAACAATCCGCCCTAGTTTGCTGACTCAGTGTCTGGACGCCTCGCTTCAGGGTGACCGAGCAGCGCTGAGGGTTCGCTTGCGACTGACACGACAAGGCCAATGATTCTCCTTGTACAAATACGTTGCTTGATCTGTTGGTGGTGATTTTCGTATTGCTGGGTTTATCTAGACAAGGAAAAAGAACTCAAATTAAAAACAAATCTCACGTTCGGCCTCTCAGGTTCAAATCCTCGACTCACCATCATATGCGAGGAAAAGGTTCCGGCATCTACATTGATTCAAATGTTTTTTCCTCCGTTGTTAATAATCCGTCCCTCCACAAGACCCAACACTCTAAATTCTTATTCGATCTAACGTCAGCCGTGCCCTGACTTAGACCAGCTCAGAGGTTGTTTCAGGGTTCAATCTGTGAGTTAGCCATGCCCTGACTTTGATCGGCCCAGAGGTTGTTTCAGGGTTCAATCTGTGAGTTTGCCGTGCCCTTCCATAGAATTAGACGATTTCTTTTGCATTCCTATTTATCCAACAATACTCACACAAGACGTTAAGATACACTGCTGTAGTCACTGGTCTCAGTACACCGTTGTCAGCCGTACAGTTATAATATCCAGTGTTCTCTCTGCTCAAGCTACCGAAAGAGTATATCAACGTGCTTTGATTCCCGCGTGCAAGTGCTTCTTGGTCTCCGGTTTTCATCCAGGTCAAGATAGGAGTTGGACAGCCGGATGCAGAACAAGTCAAGGTAAACGGGTCACCCTCTAATCGTTCATTACTCGATTGTCCAACTGGAGTTGTAGCCAAGTGGTGTGGTGGCACTAGGGGGAAAATGTATTAATGTCACAAGAATCATTTTGTTATTCGCGAAGAGTTTTACATGTTGACAACAGCTCTTGGTAGCTTTCGGAGCTTAATAATTCTAATAAAAATTCTAATATATAATAATTTTTTTTTTTTTTTGTTGACTTTAAAGTACGCTAACCAATAGAGTGGTTTTCATTAACCCGAGAAGCAGAGTGAATCAGAGTGTTCTTTACTCTCCCCCACAGCCGCTTTCAGTGTCGTCACGCAACGCTTTCTCCCCTGTACAGTTCTCCTCACTTAGAGAAAAGATTAAGTGAAGACAATAAGAATCGAATTCGGTAACTTCGGTACCAAAGAACTACTACAACCCTAACCCTAAACCCTAGACCACGAAGCGAATTTGGTTGGGTTGTCTCATTTTTTAGTCATATTTAAACGATGTATCATCAGCATGTGTACATAAATATTTATTATAGTTTAATTCATACTATCGTAGGGTACGGCTACTAGCTGATTACTCGAAATTTGAATTTAAATAGAATTCCCCTGACAATTCCCGGAGAAGATACAACGCGTGAGGTAGTGCTTAAAGCGCTAAAGTGTATTTCACGGTTTATGAAAACCACTCTAAGTTCTAAACAATTCACGAGTGAATATAAATTAATGATTGATAATTAATATTTATTTATTTATTTTAAACATTTTACATGTGTAAATAATGCGAAATGCTGGATAAAGAAATAAACAAAACTGATCTAAATACAAATTCAAACATTGATCCCTAATTGATCCCTAATTGATACTCAATTGATCCCAATTATTTCCTAATTGATCCCTAATTGATCCCTTATAATCCCTAATTGATCCCTAATATTAATTCAAGAGTGGTGGAGTTTCGTGTGTTCGCTGGTGATAACCATTGGGATCCAACTTAACGACGATGGCCGTTGATTTCAAAGAGAAGATAACGCGTTTCACTGGTTGCTCTAAAGTCTATTCATACGAGATGCGATTATACAAATTTTGAGAGGTCTTTAGCTCAAAAGTAGATTTTGAAGTAAAATAATATTGCTGGATTTCTCAACATACTTATTGATTGTTTGGGCTGCAAAACCTGTTAGGCATTAAGCCATACACTGCAATGCAAACTCCACAATATTTTTCCCCAAAAACCTCGGAATGGCTAGTCGATAAATGAGGTTTATTCTTTATAAACATACCTTGTATAAATATTTCCTTGGAAACAGTTTGCGCCTTGCCAACAATGTTAGACACCTCGCACATGAAGGTCTGCTTTCCACATCCAACGATATTCGATGCCACGTAACTAGCTGAACAATCAGAACTAGAGTTGAAGATTTCTTTAAATTGCAAGTATATCTTTATTGTACAGGGTTTGGGGTTGGAGATTGCGTTACAGGTCACGTTAATGGAATCTCCTTCAACGAAAACGTTATCAGACTTGTTGGTCAGAAGTTGTACGTTCTTTGGTAAGTCTGAAAGAGAAGAAAATCAATAATAACAATATATTAGATTTTCTATTTTAATTTTTTTATTGTGTTTTATTATTTTGATTTCGAATGTAGGGATAATAAGTGCGGTGTAAAAACAAGTGGAAGAATTCTACACGTGATAGTTAAAATATATTATTATTATAGACCTTTAGCACGACGTACTTTTCTAGGTAGAGTGCAAACCGTTTATTTGTGAACAACAACGAAATAGCACTAAACGCATGCATTCGTATTGTTTTCAACTGTTTCATTGGTGCTATTTTGTATTGATTATCTAGTACTATTGTACGGATATATGGTTTGCACTCTTATATAAACAAGTTGCAGTTCGATCTCGGGGGATTTCCCATAACCATATTCATTATTATTTTTCTTACCACATTGTTATCGTCCTCATCAGCATTTATCGTTTATATCTATTTGATAGAACGTGTTTTCTAATGGTGGCTTTGATAAAAACGTTGTTGGCTGTAGATGTGAAATCTGAGACCGAGTGGAATTGTGGGGGACTGAGTGCGTGATTTCTCGTTAAAAATTTAAAATACACTTAGCTAGCGCAGGTGATCGCTCAACGTTCCATAAAGTTCCCAAAAATTCCATATTTAGATGAATACCTTCTTGCAAACTTCAAATTGAAATCACAAAAACATTTCCTAGCTTACAAAGCTAAACGCAATTCATTTTGGCCTCAGATTTCAAATCTCCGACCAACAGCGTTTTTTGAAATTTTCATGATGACAAACATGGTGTACGAGTCCTTGACTAGCTAACTTACGAAACACATTGACGTTAACAGTCTTCAAAAGGGGACTTCCAGCGGATGCTTTTTCAGCAGTGCACTGATAAACACCTGCATTTTCTATAGTAATGCTTGCAAATTCCAGAACAACGAAGCCAACATCGCTTTTGCTGATGGAAACACTATTTCCTATCTTTGTCCAGGTCAGTGGTGGGGGTGGAGGACATCCGTCTTTTGTGTTCGTTTTTGCGGTACAAAAAATTGAAACTTTTGCCCCTTCCAAATAAGACGGCTGTGAATTGATACCCAGAGTGACAGGATCTAAAAGAAATTATCATAATCATCACCACAATCACCTTCGTTATCATTATCATCATCATCACCATCACCACCACCTCCATCATTACCATCATTATCATTACCACAATCATCACCATCACCACCACCTCCATCATCACCATCATTATCATTACCATCATCATCACCATCACTATCATTACCTTTATCTTGATCAGCATCGACATCATCATCTCTATCATCATCATGATTACCATCATAATCATCATCATCAGCATGATTTTTATCATCCCCATAATTTTCATCATCACCACTACCATCATGATCATCAAAATTATCATCATTATCAAGCATCTTATAATCATCATCATATCATCATTATGACCATCGCCACCACCTCCATCATCATCATCAATACGCCTAGTCTGGCCTCCATCAATTAATTGTCCAACAGTATGGGTTGTTGTCGTTCAGTTGCCAAATTTTATGATCAATAACTATGGTTTCGTGTGTCTGTCTTTCTTTTATGGGTAAAGGAGAACAATGCGCCGTCTAAATTATATCTTTTGTGGCATTCTCTTACGTAAGCTGCTATTATCAATCAACGTCATTACTCTCACAAAGCTTTATATGCCCACTGGGCGTCCCATAATACCTTGAGATCCGATATAGCCACTGGAATTTAGAAATTTTTTTTTTTTTGTTCAGAGAGAAGAGAAAAACCAATGGAGAACCAACGGGGAACTCTACTCACATATGACGCATGCGCACACTATTCTTCCCTCCCATTCTGGTAACAAAGACCTCACTTTCTCTGAATTATGAAAGTTGTGTATTGCACTCTACTACACGAGTTATTACCTTGGATCGTCAGCATCTGACTAGCCAAGCCTGCTCCTTCATCGTTGACCGCTTGACACAAAAGCATAGCGGGCCCACATTTTTGAATCAGCATCTCAAATCTCGCGGAACAGTTTTTGCTTTCAACTGGCGTACTGTCTTTCACACCTGGGAATGTAAAACTCATTGTGCAGGGTGTTGGCTCTGCTGATGATTCGCAAATGAATGACAACCTCTCTCCAAACAGGAATGTGTTGCCTGGTTTGTTAGTCTCGAGGATGAGAGTAACGTTTTCTGGCTTATCTGAAATAAATAAAATTGGACCTCTTCCAGCAGATATGTGAGAAAATGTTAACCAATCAGAATCGAGGAAAAACTGAAGTGTCACTTTCTCTCAAAATATTCACTTCCAGGCCACCAAATGAAAAAAAAAACGATGCTAATTAGGTTATGATGACAGTACCATAATTACTTATGAGCTTTATATTTTTATTACAATGGTGGACGAGATTTTTTGTTTTTGTTTTTGTTTTATTGGCTGGTTATTTTTCCCAGGTTTCATGACACCTCAGTGTTTTGCAGTGACGTCATTTCTACGTCACTATTTCGGATCAGCTGGTTTGGCTTCAGAAAGAAAATCCTTGAAATAAATAGTAGTGAGTTTCATGTAACTGCTACGCCAGCCCTGAAACATATCAATTAAATAAAAATAAAAATAATAGCTTATAAAACTCACAACAAGTGTAGAGGTTAAAGTCGTCAATGGCTATCACGCTTGAAAACTCGTCTGCTTTCGTAGCTTCGATTGCAACCTAAAGAAATGTTAAGCAATTATATGTCTGTCGTGAATAAGAGAAAAAAATCTGATATGGGGTAGTAATAGTAACAGTCAGACAGACAGACAGACAGACAGACAGACAGACAGACAGACAGACAGACAGACAGACAGACAGACAGACAGACAGACAGACAGACAGACAGACAGNACAGACAGACAGACAGACAGACAGACAGCTAATGCTACTTACAATATGTGTTCCCGTGGAGTTAAAGTTCACTTTTCCCCTCATCCAAGCTTTTTTCTCTTGACTCCCAGAGAGATGAAACCTTCTAACGCCATCAACATAGACATTGAGATCTCCCATTGTCCCATGTGATGCATGCATGTGATAGTAAAACTCCAAACAGTTCCTTTCATTGGCAGAAATAGTTTTCTCCAAAACTGCCTTGTCGCCTAGTGTTCTTCCCGAAACATCAATATACATGTAATGCCCTGTTGATGAAAAATATTTTTAATTTTTAGAAAAGCTTTTTTTCCCGAAACATGAACACTGCTTGGGAAATAAATATCTTATTCAGAATTATGAACAACTGTGATAAAAATTACAGACCAAAAATTTTGTCCGCGTATATAAAGTAGGAAAAATGCAGAAAAATAGCGTCCCTTGAGACATTTTAAGAGACTTTTCAAACAATCAAGAAACGAGTTCAAATCATGTCACTGGAAACCCTTTGTGGGTGGTCAGGAAAAGGTGGTTATGAAAGCTCGCCTCTCACCTCTGAGGTGTGGGGTTAATATCTTTCGGAATTAGTTGGTTCCTTGTCTGACTTCGAGGGTTTTTCGGTCGACCCTCCTCTCAAACTAACCCTAACTAATTTAAACTGGTTAGAGCTGACTGTACAGCGTCTGTATAGCGTCTGCCAGAGGCGCCTTCACGTCCTTTCAGTTCGACCACGTTGAGCTGCGCCACTGCTGTACTTTGCGAGGTTACGAGTTAGTTACCGAAGTGTAATACTAAATCAACCAATCAGATCGCGTGTAATAATTTATCACGTACTATACATACCACTTCCGGCAGTGTGGTCACTGGTATGTCATGCAGTTAAACCAATCAGTGCGCGTGTTATAATTTGTCGCGTGGTAGACATACAACTTATGCTATTAAACCAATCAGAGCGCGTGTTATACTTTATCACGTGGTGGACTTACCTGTTCCGGAAGTGTGGTCACTGTTTGGTCCAGAAACTGGATTGTTTGTACTTCCAGATTGTCTTGTCCAATCAAACTGATCATTGGTACTCTGAACAAATCCGCATGTGTCCGAATCAAAGGTGCAATTAAAGCCGATGGCTGTGGAGAACATTTAAATTGATCAAAATCTTTGCGAATTGAATAATGAGTTTATGACATGAATATGACAATGCAAGTTGAGAGAAGGTATTAATGGAAAATACTTTTCAATGCAGTGTGCAATAGTCATAAATAGATACAAAAGAAAACAATGGAATGCGTATTAGTGTAATTCCTATTTTCACAGCTCCAGTGACTTCTCTTATAATTTTCTTAAATAGAAGAGTTACTTATGGTAATACTAGAAGTCAATTTTTGACGATAGCGCGTTTCAGATATAAAATATATAGTGAATTTTATCAAAACCTGAAAAAAACCATGCACAACTTCTGGACTATTAACTATGCTAATCCAGGGCTCGGCTAACTCATTACAGTGCGAATCGAAAAACCGTGGACATCTAGAATGTTCTATTCTTCTTTGGCCAATCATCAGGCTTGACTTTCTAACTACAAGATAACGGAAAGATTACAATAACGATTCTGATTGGCTATTAAACATTCTTGAAATATTTCTAGGTGCCTACGGTTTTTCGATTCGCATTGTAACACATATTGAACCATGAAACAACCCTTCTTAGCTGATCTAAAAAAGAGCACGGCTAACTCAATCTACGAAATCTGGGCACAGATCAAACCTTGAATTAATAACCTCTGGGCGGATCAAAGTCAGAGGGAGTCCGACTAACTCACAGATCGAATCCCGAAAAAACCTCTTAGCTTATCTAAGTCAGGGAACGGCTAACTCAGAGATCGAATTATAATTTAACTTAGCAAAAGCGAAATATTATGCTTCTAAATAGACTTTATCCATACACAAAACGATTGTGGATTGAAAACATCGACAAAAATTATATATCTATTTGGTTGAGAGGTAAATTCAATCTTAGTAAATTCAGAATACTCAGAAAATTCAGAATATTTTTGACAGAATCTTGTTCAATAAGTTTAAGTTTTATCGTTGAACTCGCAAAAAGAGTAATTAAAACAGTGTCAATATTATACTTACCGAGATTCAATTGAACCAGGAAAGCCAAAAGTCCAAGGTAGGAGACGAAATCCCTAGAAATCATTATTGCAGGTGGCATGAAGATCACAAACTCCGTTCGAGTGACAGCGAGTGACAGCATGCTTGTTAAGACCTGAAGGCTTGCACAACGCATTATGGGAAGTTATGCTAATTATGCATGAAGTTCATACTGCACGAAGGAATGCATGGAATGCTTGAAAGCGTTGTTAAACCTGAAAGACTCATAAAAGTACATAAACGTTTCATCTCTTTTGTGTTTTCATTCTAGCCTCGCATCCACGATAAATTTGAAAGATTTCTATAATTGCAAGAACATCTTCAAATAAAATAACAAAATACTAAGATAGAAAATAGGAATTAATTATCTTGATATGAGTCTTTCCATTGATTTAATTCAGTCAATTCAAAAAACGTTGTCGTCGGCCGGCTCAAGCCTACGCTACTGCCCAATTGCACAAAAAAGGCGGCAAACACTACGAAGTATACTAAAACAACTAAGAGACTTTGAATTTGATCTGTCCGCTCCATAATCTTAAAAATAAAACTCAGTCTAAAGTGAAATACGAGAAATACCCCTGACAGTTGTACAAAGGGCACTCCATTTTTAGGAGTACTCAAATGAATAAAGGACAGGTACAGAGGAGGATACACTAGTATCCCAAGTTACTTTGCGAGTTTCGTTTTCCAATATGGCGTCGCTTTCTACTCGTGTGTAGCGGTGTGCGACTTTCACTTTCCCTATCAGTCGTTACGTGACCTGTACGAGGTAAAAACTCATGAACTTGTATTGTTTATTAAAAATACTCTTAATCTACATACATATTTGTTTGGATTTGCGCCAATTGTAAGAGTTATATCGCTCGAGTTCACTTTGTCACGCGGTGTCATATCTGATGTCATATTGGATCTTATATGGTACATCAAGTAAATGCTGCTTTTCACATATTTGAGTATTTTACGTTTAAGCAACAAATATGTGTTATTCAGATATTTAGGAAAAGCAAAATCTTAAAATGACCAAAAGTGACCCATGATTTATAGTCTTTTGGACAGTCACAATTGAAGTATATTTACGAGAATTTATCGCAAACGCGACTCGTAAAAGGTGTGATATTTTTTGCCCATTTCATACAAAACAAAAATATTTAATAAACCTTACTTACTCCTATAATAGATTTTGAAGTAAGGCGAATAAGAGCTGGGCTACGGACGTTTTTGATCAAGTAATCCATCGAAGAGTTGTCACTCATTGTTGTTGGAACAAGAGCGACACGTCTCTTCCTCAATTTCTCCAAAAAACTGACGTTAACGAGTATAAAAACGACTCGTACTCCTTCAAGGCCGGGTAAACAAACAGAAAAATCATCTTTTGGAACACAATGAACATACATTAATGAAATATCTTGAAAAGAATTTGCCGAGTCTGAACACATCCATCTTGTTGTGCACTCTAAGCCGGTCAAACCAAAGTGATGACGTCACGAAAAAGTAATAATATAGTATCAAACACAATGCATTCTGGGATACTAGTGGAACCTCCTCTTGGGCAGGTACAAATAATCGGCCCGCTTGCTCAACCGTAGGAGTTTTGTGCCTAATATCGATGCCATGTAAACGGGCCTACAGTGAACTAGAAAATTTTACTTCCTGTTGTTTACGCGTCAAATTCAACCAAATATGGAAACTCTTTTATAGTCGCTATTAATATTTTAGATTATTTTTTATTGATAGGTAGAGTAGTTGATATATTGTATACTTTCTTAGTCTGAATACATATTTTAAATAAAGAGTAATCGCTTTTCTGAATATTATTTTTATCGGAATTGGGCTGAGTCGTAATCTTTTTCCACAAGAAGTCCAAGCAATGCATGGAAAACAATTGGGAATCGAAAGAAAGAAAGAAAATGACAAACACCGTGTCACAGCTGGATGTCACTGGCTTATTTTTTCTTGGAATTCAAGGAGGAATACTAATTGCCCATAGTATTTAAGGTTTTAAGAATATCCTGGCATAGAAAATGGCCTTATCCGTGGTAACATTTAATATTGGTGGTGGAGATGGTGGAGATGGAATAGTGGACGAGAAAAAGGAAATTATTAACAATTTTTTAAGCGATCATCCGTCTTCTGTCATTTTTTTGCAAGAAAATCTATGGCGTTCAGACAACATAAAGAAGCACATTCAAAAGATAAAGCAAAGATATGAAGCTGTTTCCCATGAGCATTTTGACGCTACCGTCCTTTATCGTAAGGATGTATTGAAAGACAAAGGCTCTGCAAAATTGTTGAAGTTATTCCGAGACGCTTTCAACTATAAATCTCATCTGGATTTCGAGACATTTAAAGAGCGAGCAAGCTTCTCTTACCTTGCTGAAATCAAAACAGGAACGAGCTTCGTGGCGATATCTTGGCACGGCGAATATAAAGAAAAGAAAAAAAAGGAGAAATTTGAGGAACTTTTACTAGTAATAAATGAAATAAATTCCAAAACCAAACTGCCAGTGGTACTTGGTGGAGATTTTAACATCACTCTTGACAGCGTATCGGATTCTATTGAAGAACAAGGTCTCGAAGTTTATGAATACGACCTTCAAAACCGGAAAACTATAATCGACTTCTTTGTGGTAACGCGTGATGTAAACCTCTCAGACGTAAGAGCTTTTGGTGACTATATGTACATAAATATAAAGGTACAACTTCGCCAACAATTATTTGATTTTCCCCTTTCGGGATTCATAGGATCAAATAAGCAGAAGTATGTTGTAGGTGGTGAAGCCGAGAAAAGAAAACAGGTTTTTGATCATGATCCTGTTCAAGCATTGGTATCTTTTGATTTTGACAATGAAGATGAAGACCAGACCAGTGTTAGAGAAGGCGAATGCACATTCGATGGCGATTTGGATGGAGTTGCCTATTATTTTAAAAACATTTTATTTAAATGATAAAAAAGAGCAATAAAAAAAGAGAAAGATTTGTTGTTTAACTTAACTTGATCGGTATCATCGCAACTACAATTGGGAATAATTTGAACCTTTTTAATAGTGCTATTAATAAGCTATAAATTTAATTTTAATTTTCATAATGTTATAATAAATTAGAAGCCCAAAATCAGTATTTAAAAAAAATTAAATTATTA